AGATTGTATTGATTGGACCTGCTAATCATTCTTGACTATGCACAGGTATATATGATCTGACTGACCTTTTTCGTCATTTCGTCTATCCTTGATACAGACATAACAGTTACTATCTGTATTTATAGTTCCAGTCAATATTTCGAGTACAAGGAAGACATCTCAGTACAATTGTGTAGAAATTTTAGCTACTGTTTGACTAAAGAAGCAGGATATTTTTCAGTCGGTCTCCGCATTAATATATATGGCATCAATTTTTTGATGTCCCATACCAATAGGGCCTTATTTTTGGAAGGAAATATCTATAGCTTGGTAACAAGTTGAATTTTAATTTTATTGCCAGTAATTATATAAAATTATCTACTTCTGTTGGAAAGCGAGTGATTCCAACGAGAATTCGAAGCTGGGATCTTCGAATCAAACTCAACCGCTTGAGGTAACTCCGCCAATAAATGTATGAAGTAATTTGAATGGGTATATTAAGAGTACATTTTCTATACTTTTCAGGATGACGTCATACAAGCTAATTTGTACGAAACGTCAGTATTGGTTCCAGTAAATTCGTTTTTAATGCCCTCCGTTCCTTTTAGGTTGCAGGGGCAGTTGCTTCAGGAGGTTTTTACAACGGTCTCGGCCATCTACCAAGTAGCTATGCTCGTTTGCTGGATTTCATGGCGTCAAACTACCAGGTTTTATGTATATTCGCTCTCTGGTTGGATCACTATTAGTCATCTTCCCCGTGACTTTGTTAAGAGAATCTCCCTTGCGAATTTCTCCTGCAGCATTTTGATTATACTGATGCATATCAGCGAATCGCACGTTGCAGCGATTTAACCTAAGCGAGTAAAGTATGATCTGAACAGATATTGCTGGTCGTCTCTAGTGAATACTTTTTAGAGTAAGAACATCGCGGATAGAAAAGGTCGTTTAAAATTAGGACGCAGTGGTAGAATTGCAAAATAGTTGCCTTATTCGTGGTGGGGTGCCTTATTCGAATCCGCGTAAGAAAAATGTTTGTCTTAATAGTGAATCTTTTTGAGCGAGGAATTAATCCAAAGTTGCTTCAGTTGAACCAGCCGAAAATCGAGTGGCAAGTCGTTGACTGGCATGATATTATAGTGTGTCATGCTGGAATGGGCGAGGGGTATGGTCGTGTTGTCCGATGTGAAGGCCAGTTGCGGATGTTTTTCGCCTTGACCCACCTGATAATAAACTATCATGCGTGATATTCAGGACAAGGTGTAAC